AAATTAACTTCTTGTGAATAATACTGATTAAACTTTTCTGCTTTTGTGTATTTTCTTTTTACTGGTAAATATATTCCCTTATAATCCTTGATAAAAACATGTTTTTCAGGATTTTAAATCAGGAAAATCAGGTTTAGTCTTAAATGGACATCAACTGATTATTACTGGGTTTTTTGCACGTTCTTCCTTGTCTCTATTTATAGTGACAGTGGCTGCAAGAATCAAGAATGAATGACCCTTTTCAATTTCCATCCATTTCTCATTTCTAAATTCTTGTCCATTCTTGTCTTAATTTTGTAAGACATATCCACTTTGCAATATAATGTGATACAGAGCTCCCCGAAGAGGCACTGAATGAGAGCAATGTAGTTGCACCAGTTTATTCTGGGCTAGTCAGCCACAATGAGAGACAGGGTTAACTAGTTATGATGTTGGTATCAGTATGGCAACCTCATGCTAGTCACATTCAGTGCACTGGATTTGTTTCTATAAAAAAGAACATATATATCTATATGAATATACACATACATATACTAATACCTGAAAAAGAATATATATATATACATATATATAATGTTACCATTTGAGAATGAAAATAAAATGAAGCACTTAAGAAGAGGCAGAGTAAGCCAGGTATGTCAGTCTGGTGAAGAGAAAGCTAACTGAGGATCTAGTTTTTCACTTCAACTATCTCACAAATACCTATAGAGAAGATGGAGCCAGACTTTTCTCAGTACATCTGAAAACAAACAGGCAATAGTCACAAGTTGCAAGCAAAGGAAATTGTCACAAGGGATAAGAAAACTATCCAAGACAGCTATTCAGCACTGGAACAGGTGCCCAGAGAGGTGCTGGAATTTCCATCCTTAGATTCAAAATTGAGCTGGCTAAGGCCCTGTACAACCTGATCAATATATTGACCTCCAGAGGCACCTTCCAACTAAACAATTTGCATTTCTCTATGATTTTAAGATAATTGCAATGCTTTTATATGAAAATCAATGTGAAAACAGCCAATGTAACATTGTCATTTCTCAACTTTTTATGCATAGTTTTACTTTCTTCTCTTTTAAGAGAACCCTTTTCAGAAGGGTTAGACAATTTTACAAGATGGGGTTGCCATAAACTGAAGTTTTGATGAAGTTCCACTACTTAAATGTGGAAAAGTTGAGGGCAACATACATACACAATATACAGATCTGTCAGCAATTAGGTTAAGAGGCCTCCAATCTGAAACCAGGTCTCCTGGAGCACTGAAATCCAACTGATTATTATAGGTAGTTGATCCATGAAATCTTGTTTCTATTTTAGATTAAATTATTTTCTTTCAGTCATGTATATGTGCAAGTAAACACCTACATATATATTCATATACACTCGGTTAAGTCAGTAAAAATTTAAAACATATAAACAGTACTGAAAAAATATTAGTTTGAAAATGGCAACTAATATCTCTACTGGTGGTCATGAAAGAATGTGAAAGCAAAAGGTATGTGAATTTTCAACAGGACCGGAACGTTACAATCTCATAGGAAATTTAACTAATTATTGAGAAATAAAGGTGTGGCTCTTAAAAGTATTCAGAGTAGACCTACCTTGGTTTCCATTTTTAACCATTCAGTAAGTATTTTGGCTCTTTTAGTTGTTAAGGTCAAGAATACTAAGAAGCTATAATGAACATTACAGTAAATGATATAAGGAATCCAATATTCCTCTCTTTTTACTAATGGAGCAGCATTTAAAAATGTTATGAACTGTATTGCAAAGAAGAGCAGTATATGACAGTTGAAGACAATCTATAGTGCAACTAATTCGGAATAATTAAGATTGTTCATCTTTGGAAAGAGATTAATAAAATGTTCATGGAAGAACTTATTGAGTCTATTATACTTTGGTAAAATGACTTTCTTTCTAAAAATCTTCTTATGATTACATATTTCAAACACTCTTTGCTTGTTCCAGAATAAAATCAGTAAAGTGGCATTGTCCAGACTAGAAGGGAAATAATGTCTGGTCATAGGGAAAGGAAAAAGTGGAAATAATAGCCCTAGACAAGGCAAAAGATATCTTACAATCTTAAAATATTGATGCAAAGTAAAATCTTTTTTTTCCATCAATACAAAGATTAACTAGAAAGCTAATACCTGTTAAATTAAAAAAAATGTATCTGTTTATGCTACTACATAATATTTGAAAACCTTGGAAATACACTGACTGTATAGACCTGGAGTGAAAGCCTGAGCTTACAGAAAATATTTCATTTTCCCTTGACTTTAAAGTGGAACCAGACTTCACTCTAAAATTTTCATCTCACTATTTAATATTGCATTCTTTTGCACTTCTTTCCCCTTAAAAACCTACATTGAACGCATATTTTTGTTTATCATTCTTTTTGACCTAAAAATGCCCACGATTACAAACTTTGTTCTGGAATATATGTTAAAAACCTATTGGATCAAGGTTCTCAACAAATTTGTTTGAATTTTTGAGCCAACCTCTAGTCTAATTCCTTTAGACTAAAGTTAGCCTGTCCCTTTAAAGTCTAATCTGAAAGACTTCAAAATAGTAAATTGTATGGAACTCAATCTGTTTATCTGAAAAGGATGAAAGGGTTTGTTCTCCATCTAGATTTGAACTTTTGGTTCCACAATGTCTAAGTATTTCAAATAGAGGTTTACACCATTAAGACATGCCACTCATGAGAACTCAATCTTTCCTATGTTAATATCCATGGTAGAAAGATAAATGAATGCCTTGATAAACTAACAAAAAATAAATACTAAGTGACAATATTATGAAAAGCGTCTATCAAAATTGCCATTTCAGGCACAAGAGGTTATATTTATCCTTTTTTTTTTTAATCATTCTGTACCAATCTCAGGAAAAAAAGTTAAGTCACTAGCAGGAACACTAGTTTATTCCCTAATGGCACACAAGAAAAACCTTCTTTCATTTATTACCTTTGTCTCATCCCACTTCCAAGGTGATCTGCTTAAGACTACCTTAGCCAACCAAACTGTGAAATAAATCCAGTGTACCCTATAACACAGGCAGCCCCAGTTAATATTGTTCAAATTATTTACATCTGAAGGGCCGCGCCTGTCTGGATAGCTGGGCCCGACGCTTCTCTGGACTTGGTTTCTGCTACTCACATCTGTTTCAGCTTTAGACTTTCACTGGTATTCTGCCAGCAGCCACAACTACAACTTTTTAATGGCTACAATAAACTACAGAGACTCATCAAATCTTTGTTGTACGTGTTACCCCCCAGCCACAACTTTTTAATGGCTACAATAAACTACAGAGACTCATCAAATCTTTGTTGTACGTGTTAAAATTATAACCTCTTCAATTAAAATTTTGATTTAAAAATAAACTACAGCACTATCTGAACAAATAAAATTGAATGAGAATGTTTGAAAGAGAGACAACATTTTTATAGGAATGATTGTTTGTTTGTCTAAATATAAGAGAAACTAATAACAGGAATGCTTGTTAGAATTTTGCAGCATATTTCTGAGTGATAATATACCAACATCTGAAAACATTTCCACAACCTTTTTTGTTTCAAATCCTTGCTGTCATTAACTTTATATGTTAATTGGTTTGGCTGGGTTTCAAATACATCTTTGCAAAGAAGAATTATGAAAACAACCTCAACGTAACAATTTTTCTAAAAGTTCCACAAATACCTAAGAAAACGTTTCAGAAAATAGAAAACAGCGATTACAAGAAAGCTGTAGTTTTTATGTTAAAGAGTTAGTTGAAGTGCTCAGCATTTCTTGCTTGCAGTCTGTGTCTCTAATGTAGAATAAATACGATGTGAATGTCACAGTCTCAATGCAGATCCTGCAAGACTAAGATGCATGACAGCAGGACTATGTGCTAAAAAAGTACAAGATCAGACATGGATCATGTTTCTGCACAAACTAGCCCAAAAGAGGGCAGGCCAAGGGGTTTACAGGGCCAAGTGATGAGAGGAGATAGAGCACTCACTTATGCCCGGGTCAAACAAACAACAACTGATACTTTCCTACCACTGTTATCCTTTGAAACTACCCTAAAGAAGGCAGTGACCTAATCCAGCAATTTCTAACTGTAAGGATAAATTATTTTGTAATGGTTTGCATTGCCTTACATTGAAAAAACTTTTAAACAATCATCTTGTTCATCTTAAAAGACTCTTCCATTTTGATGCAGAGATGTAAATGTAAATGGAGAAGTTTTTATAGGCTTTTATGCAGATTCTCTCCCTAAACTCCATTTTCTACACAAAACTGCTTCAGGAAAAGTAGCAACTTTTCCTTAAAAAAAAAGACAGGCTTAACATATTGAGTCATCATTTGCTGGATTTATTTTAGAAAGTCATATGGAGCACAAAATAAAAATGAAACTGCTTGGAACACTTAGAGAACAACTCTTCCTACTTTATTTCCACTCAGTACCTTGATTGATAGATGAGTTGGGTTTCTGAGCCCCTCTTTATAATAAACATTTTTAAATGTTTATTTTATGTCCCAGGGTGAAAATATTTTGAGCTGGAGCTTTAAATTTCCCTTTGCTGTGCCTTGGCAAGCTGTGTTTTATTTCTACATTAATAGCATTCAACTCTTTTTTGTAGCTGTTAATTTGTTGTTATACCAGGACTGAAGAAAATATTTATGTTATGGAACTAACAGATATCTAAATTTAAACACAGAGTTCTGGAGAAGCCAGAGGAAAATTCACACATATCTAAAGAAAATTTCAGAAAGATTTCTTTAAGGGTCTGTCAACTGTAAAAGGGAAAATTACTTTTCAGTATCTTTACTTTCATTTTTATTAAGTCATGAGTTTGATTTTTTTTTCTTTCTAATTTATGGGAGTAATTTGTGCCACAGTGTAAAAACTCTAAATGAATCAACACTATAAACCTAATTAGCAATAAGAAACCCCCATAAAGGTCACATTTTAAATGGCACTTTTTTTTTAGCAGAACAAATGTGAAAGTTCCCAGTTACCTTCTAGATCTCTCTTCAGTTTCCTTAAGTCTTTTATTAGGTCTTCAAACTTAACTTGGGAGGCCTGGAAAAAATCCTGTGGTTCTGGTAAAGGAAAAATACTCTTGTCTGTTCCTGCTTCCTAAACAAACAAACAAACAAACAAACGGGCCACTATAAAAATTGAACGCATTTGCAGTGAAATAAATTACTTTTTTTGAAACGCCATCTATGAAACACTGTTATAAAACTGCAAAAATAATATATTTTAAATCATTCTTGCTAAAATCACATATATATCATTCAAGATGAAATACTGACCATTCTGACTGTTGAAACTTCTTTTTAGATGTTGCAAAGCAAACTATGCTCAATTTAAACTATGAAACAGTATTAAGTTCACAACATTTCAGTTCAGTTTATATTAGTAAAGGTTTAGATAAGGGATTAGAAGTTTCTTAAATACAGGTAACATGAATGCCTGTTTTAATGCAACAAGTGATCTTACGCCAGAAGTTTGTGGTTTCGCTCTCTCCCAATTAATTAAATGTACACACACTTTATAAGCATAAATTGAAAACAATATTTATATATTCCCTGAAGTATTTTATACAGATAAAAATATACAGTTGAAGGTTTATGCGGCTAAATAAATCACATAGGTTAATGTCTGTATGAAACTGCTAAGCATATACCTTATTTTTAGCACAGTAAGAAAAAAAATTAGAAGTAAACCAAACCAAAACAAAAAAAAAAATCTTACAAGGTTCAAAGCAGTATCTCCAGTGGGAATTTAGGAAGTAAAGTATATAAATGCTGTTAATATGACATCACTGTGTATAAGCATATACTAGTGAGTTTAAAATACTACTGGTGTACAGTTTTCACTATGTAATAAAGGAAAACTCATAGACTGGAAAACTGTTTTTGAACAGGGAAAAAATAATTTTATTATTGTAAAGATATGAACATTCAGGAGGAAAAAAGTATAATGGATGACAGTTACACTGTGTCCAATTCTTCCCAAGGAAGATAAACTGTTGTGTTTTACAAAATTCTCTTAAGTAAAATTACAGTAAAGTAGAAAGTCTGCAAAAATACTAAATATATGAATTAGAAAGCATTAGCTTCAGTATTATTAAAAAAGGAGAAAAGAATACATATGTCAATACCCTGAGAACTGAGAAATATTACAGGCTAGACAAAGTTGCTTTTGTTATGAGGCTTTTCACAAGATGGGTACTTAGGTTAAAGTAAGGACACTCTATTTCCTTGCTCCAAACAAACAAACAAACAAAGCCTCCCCCCCAAAAAAAAACCCAAACAAGTATAGATCAACATATCTGCTAGTTTTTTATCTCCTCTACATTTCAGCCCCAGGAGCTGTTACACAGGCTCCTGACATATAGACATAGAGATGACAGAATCATAGAATAGTTTCGTTTGGAAGGGGACCTTTAAAGTTCATCTGGTCCAACTGCCCTGCCATGGGCAGGGAAATGTCTTCATTCACTTTAGTCTTCACTTACTTCAGTCTTATTCCTCGAAAAAATACTCCTGACTACTAACTCATCAATTCAACATCCTTACACAAAAATTTGAAGAAAAAAAAAAAAAAAAGAAGAAAAAAGAAAAAAAGGAGAAAGAAAAAATTATTTGTATTCAACTAGACACAGGGTTGTAAAAAATTACACTAGTCTTAGATTCAAAGATTAGGTAAAGGCATCATCTTAATCTCAAAAATAAGCAATTACATACTTCAACTCTATTAATAGTAACATTTTCATTTAAAAGACAATAGTTCACATTTTCCACTCAAAAAATTTAGGCACTGCTGATACCCATCAAAAAGCCTCATAAATGTAACTCGCTCAAGGCAGCAGTCATACCTCTTCGCACCTTTTCAACCTTTAGCTTCATCCCAATCAGTTAACTCACCTATCTTAAAATGTCAACCTGTCTTTCCATTCTGTCGCGCGAGAGAAATCATGCTTCTGTCTTCCATTATTACCACATCAGAATAAGATTTACAACACTACAGTAACCAGGATGTAGAAGACCAGACTGGAGTGACCACCTGTCCTGTCTGCAACAGCCACAGGTAATTGCCCGCAGTGGTTAGTTCAATAGTTAATATAAAGTTTTCCAAAGCCTTATCATAAAACCTATAGCAATCTTCAGACCTGTTGAGGTCCACAGCTATCATAAGAAAGCAAAAGAAATGGATTTTATTTTTCCATTAGAGGTACTGTGTTCAGATTTTTAAAAAGCTAATACAAACTCTTTTACAGTATCTTAAAGAAACCTACTTTTGGAGAAGTTGATTCAGCAAATCAATCTTTTACCTTATCACAATGGCGCAGGTAATACATGACGACATAATCCACAAGATTAATACCATTATCCTAGGAAAAAATAAATAAATTATTAAAAATGTGTGACTAACACTGTCTCAAGTGAGTGAAAATTTACTCTATTTCAAAATAAATATATTATTATTTTATATTGCTGAGAGAAATAGTACTCACAATATCTTCAGCCTTAACATTACTGACCAAAAAAATAAATCTTTTATAACACAGGCTTGACCACACCACCACGGGACCTAGAGCTTCTTTTGGTTCTAAATACTAGGTAAGAAAAATTGCATTATAAGAAGCTGTCCTCCTACGTTTTTTTAACAATACAAGGCATTACTGAATAATAATATTAACTTTGGTAATAATATTAATATGATTATTGTTGAATCTAATATTAAATATTAGCCTCCTCAGATACATAAAGGTTAACTGAATTTCTTGATTACTCTAGTCTCAATTCAACAATAATGAAGATCTGAAAGACGCATAGATATTTTCCATATTTTACTCCAAACATCAAACCAGACAGTCTGTACCTAACAAGTATATTTCATGCTCTGTTGCCTTACAAATATGAATTTTAATACTCATTTTGTGGAATCACCATTTCCACAGTCCTGCATACGACAACTGTATGCAACATCATTTTATTTTGTTACATGTCATTGGGTCAGCATAGACCAGATGAACTGAAGGAAAAGCATAAAACTGTGACTTACACATTACAGTACCATTCGACAACATAAAAGAATCCTAATACAAGGAATTATATGTGGAATGTCTTTGAAGATTTTTTTGATGTGTCTTCATATTGCATATTGACTGGTATCAGGACAAACATTTGCATGCGAACAGTATCTGACCTCCTGTACAGACCTGCCTCATCTATATTAGAGCCTGTAGCACATTATATTTTATTAATATCATACACCAGCAAAATTCTTAACTAAGCAAGTCATTGCTGTCATGCAGACAAAGCCCTTTTGCTTGTATAGCGGTCTTAGAAGACATTGCTAGCAAGTCATGTGGCAAAAAGGAACTGAGGTGACTCATGAACACTTTATTGACCTTTCAGAGTAAAATACATCTGTTATTCTATTTTCTATATGTTAAACTATCAAGCCTGTTACTTTGGTTTAAAGAGTATTTCCACAAGACAAAACACAGAGATTTTGAAGTAGTGAGCTACATTTAAAAAAAAAAAAAATCTCTATATCAAGTAACTTTCTAGGCTCATGTGAAAACAAATGACTTATATGAAGTAAGAGATATTTAACATTGACTTTTTACCTTAGCTGCTGGAATTCAGATTACCTAGACGTAATATCGCTTGCTGGCAATTCCCAAAAATGGAATAACAGGACACAGGAAGGATACCTTAGTGTTCAAATATTCAAGACCTTGCATTCTTCCTTGCAAGTACGGTCTACCAATTATCTCGGAGGTTTCATGTCTGCCTGTAACAGCTGGTCCCTTTGAGTTTTTATGCATTTTGGAGATTAGTCTAAACTAATAATATATTTATTTTGGCTACCAGGAAACTGTAAATACTGTAATTTTTTAGCTTGTTTTGCTAAGGAACAAGTCTTACACAATTATTCTGTACATCCGTCGCTCCTTTCCATAACTCATAATTTTGGAACGTGTTGGCTAAATTCAGCCAAATTGGAATGTCCCAGAGATAAATAAATTCTTACAAGTCTATGGTTAGATAGAAGAGCAAGACTTAAATTAGTACTTCTACTGAGAAAAGTCAGGCAAGGCTCAGTTGTTTTATATTTTTCTTCATGGCAGTTGGCCAATCAATGAACACCTAAGTACTGGGAAACTTGGCCTAGTTTAGCTGCAGCTTGTACTGTGTCTTGTCCATGGAGTAGGACTGGAAGAAAAGTGGTCATAGGGAACAGCTGAACCATTGCAGTGAAGAGGAAAGTAAGAATCAGAATCATAGAATCATTTAGGTTGGAAAAGATCTTTAGGATCATGGAGTCCAACTGTTAACTAACACTGCCAAGTCCACCACTAAACCATGTCCCTAAGCACCACATCTACACATCTTTTAAATACCTCCAGGGATGGTGACTCAACCACTTCCCTGGGAAGCCTGTTCCAATGCTTGGTAACCCTTTCAGTGAAGAAATTTTTCCAAATATCCAATCTAAATCTCCCCTGGCACAACCTGAGGCTGCTTCCTCTAATCCTATCACTTGTTACTTGGCAAAAGAGACCGACACCCACCTTGCCACAACCTCCTTTATGGTAGTTGTAGAGAGTGATAAGGTCTCCCCTCAGCCTCCTTTTCTCCAGACTAAAGAACTCCAGTTCCCCCAGCCACTCCCCATAAGACTTGTGTTCTAGATCCTTCAACGGGCTTTGTTGCCCTTCTTTGGACACACTCCAGCACCTCAATGTCTTTAGGAGAAAAAGGACTGAAATCCATTGGAAAAACTTTCATTAATACAGTTGCTCACTGAACAATTAATTAAACATGCTTTTATACTTTGTTAGTGATGGTATTCACAAGTAAAATAAAAAGCTTTCTGTTTTCCTGATATTGCCTATCTCACAAATACATTCCTGTGTACATGAAGCATAACTGGAAACAAAAGCTTAAAATCTACCTTTCTTATAATTCAAGACAGCACTTAATGAAGGAGAAGAGGAAGAACATGAAAGAATGTGTTTTTTTCTCACCCTTCAAATCTGCAACAGCACCAGCAGAAAATACCTCCAATTCTTTGCTGCTTCATATATCCACATGATGCCTAGGTATGCTTTGGCAAAGAATGACTTTGAGCAGAGTTTCCATTGCCTACATTATCTAGCACCTCCTCCTCTGCCCTACTGAAACAAGGAACAAAGTAACCTCAGCTCAAAAGGTGTCCAGAGCTTGCTCAAGCCTGACTTTGATCCCAGCATGACTAAACAAAAACGTGATAGTGGTTCCCAATTTTTGACAAAATAATTTAATGCCATCTATAAGCATTTTCTCATGCATGTCATTCAGAATTTAAGCCCTACATCCATTTCACTGTCAATTAAAAAAAAAAAAAAAGATTGAAAATACCTTGTTGGTTCTGACACACCTCTTTGAAGAGGATTAAAATCCTAGATATTATATACTTATATCCTTTATGTATAATTCCTCAGTGTATATGCTACATTGAACCTTTACTGATATTTTGGTTTAAATTTGATTTTTAAAACATTTTTACTCACATAGAGCTACCTTAAGAGCAAGAAAAAAGAATGGTGACACTTACTGGAGAAGACTTCAGCAGTCTGTGCCTTCTCACCTCTCTCTAACCTACTGTAATTAAGTCCTTACTACTAAAAGAGACACACAGAAGTTCTTGCGCAAGATAATTATCCTAGTAGTATTGAATATAAGAAACTGGAGATTATGGAAATATGCACATGTGCAGAAGAAGGAGGTGAAAAGTTGGGAGAAAAAAAAGCAAGAAAATGGTACAAAGTGGCTTGCTCTTTCAAGCAAGAATGGTAAGCAATAAGAAAAGATTAACTTTTGATAGATGATGGAACAAGAAAAGATCACTTGAGAAAAATTATCTTTAATTAAAAATGAGTACTTACTCTGCTTTTGACATCCTTTAGTTTGGGGAGTATTTCCAAACCAAATCCATCAGCTTGACCTCGGGTCCTATTCCCACCATTCATATAATTTCCAAAAGCCAGAATCAAACCTAAAATTTCCTTTACGCTTGTCATGTTCAGCAAAGCCTGGAAAATGGATACTAGTCTGTAACTTCCATTGGCACAAAAATTCTAATTGTTAATATAAAAAAGCTTTTTTTATTTCATTTTTGAGGTTTTGTTTCTTGTGCGTTTTTACCACTGCAGGGAAAGGAAGCTAAAACTGGTACAAGAATCAAACATTTAAAAGAAACATTTACTAGGCTGTATCTGCCTAAGATACTATATTTAACTTAACCCATATGAAGCAAATTATATGGAATCATATACTATGTAGATGACAAAATGATTAATGGAAGAAGATCACTACATATTCTTAAAAAATTTACACACGAGGTAGTTTATCGTAAGTTTGCATAACGCACAGTCAAATGGAGATGCTGCCATCAGGTTAGAGTCAGACTGTCATATTCAGTCTGCTTCTCATTTGTCTTGGTGCTCTGGAAATTCACATTTCTGGACCATACTTGATGCAGATATATCAGGGCTAAGGATTAAATTACTATACCTCAAAACAGAAAAGAAATCTAGAAACATAGTGGAGAACAAATAAATTATTTACGTTTACATATAAGGATATCTGTCTTGTTAATTGAGAATCTGAGGCCACAGGCCTAATGTAGCCTTATACTACACATTGGATAAATCAATTGTACTGTGAGCTCTTCATAAGTAAACTGAGGGTAATAACTTTCCCTATCTCATACAAAACCAATTCCTTATTTATGTCTCCTTTGGAAAGGAAACACTACGTAACTTTTTATTGTTAGAATACACAAAGAAATCCAAAGGGGCAGAGCATGGGTACTTTGTGGCACGAAAGATAATCTTCAAATTGGGAAAAAAAAAAATACTGTCATGGGTAGGATTTTATACCTTTAGGTCACTATTTAATTTCTCTTTTAATGCTTATTTAATTCTACTTTTCACGTTTTATTTGTTACAATTTAAAAATCTTGTAATTAGTCATTCAGAAATTTTAGGCAAAGCTTTGTACTAAAAAATGTGCTGCATCAGGGTTAACGGAAATGTATAGATACTGGGGGAAAGTAATAAGCTAACGAATATGATAGGCATCTATTGCTGATGGCATCAACCTATACTAAGCTAGTTCGATATTTAATTTCTATTTTGTGGAAATTATGTATTACTCAATGTGCAAGTTAAGAAAAATCTGCCATTCAAATAAAAACAAATTGTCCTATGTAGATCATAGGGCATCACACACAAATCACCTTCCCTCTTTGCTCCTCCTTTTGTTCTTATAAGAAGCTAAAAAATAGAATATATTTTTGTTTTCCTGAAAAGCCAATAACCCGGCTTAAGGTTCATGACTTATGGTAAAAAGAGAAGCATGAATACTCTAAAATATATTTATGTTTTTATTTTGCTTTCATTAGGACTTACCTTGGAAACACGAGTTATGATATCAACTTTCCGGTGCACTGATGTTATGCCTTCAGAAAAAACTGACTGGAAGATGATACACTGAGCTCGTTCTGTGAAGTTTGGGATCTGAGATAACTCATATAAAAATCTGTGGAAAAAAAGTGTATTAATGAATCTTTATATTTCTTACGGGATACATAACGGATAAAAGCTGTACTATCGTGAAATACACATGCAATCTTTCCTACTTTGAAACAAACCTGAGAGAATTTATAATTGTTATATTCTTTAAGCTCAATGTGTTAAAAAATTCTATTAATATCAAGAAAAAGGCAAGACATTAATCATTATCACATTAATCCACTAACCCACTATCACAGCTGCATACTAATAAATGGAAGAATTATAAACCTACATCACAGGTTTAAAAAAAAAAGAGAAAGGAAAGGAAAAAGCTAGAGAAACACTATCTATTTACTGTTTTCACTCATGTGTTTTTGCTTCCCTTAAAAATGTGCCCAGCAGTACAGAAAACATATTCCTACAAGGTTATTTCATAATATAAAGCGTCTGCCAAGAAATTTCTTCTGATGCTCAGCCTCAATTTTCTTTTACTAATTTGCACCACACTTCCAATTATCTAGCAGTATGTTTTATGGTAATGTACCTAGCTGTGTATCTAGCTCTAACAGACTTGCAGATTGTTTCTCTCTCTCTTCAGTCGCTGCTCAGTAAAGTTACTAATTCTTTATCTGCACTTTATCTGTCCTCATATGCACACTTTCCACATGAGTCTATTTCAGCTTTCTTCCTTTAACTGTTTGGTAAATAAAAACAAATAGAAATGTCTTCAGCAACTCTAGTTCGGATATCACAAAATGAAAGCATCCCAAAAGCATGAGTAATTCCTCCCTTTTCTTCAACTGAAAATGTAAGAGCTTGGCTACATAAACAAGAAGCTTTAACATTCCTTACAATAACAGAGTTTGCAGAATTTGCTTTGAGGGTTTTGAGTCCAGGATTTCAGTGATACACATGCTTTCTTGAAATCCAGAAACAAGTTGTCTTTTGCTCCAATATCACTTCAGAAACATTCTTGTGATCTCCTGTCTACAGATATCCTTAGATCCTCCTTAACGCAATGCCGTAAAGATTTTTCTACCTCACTGAATTATGGGAAGTCCTGTGAACCATTATTAGCTTGAATGCTTATTAAATTTATTTTAATTATTTAAGCGAATACATCTGATTTCTCCAAATTATTTCTTTTTCATAATAAATAGAATCAGTATCTTCAAATCCACTTTATAAATTTCTCATGAATGCAATGCTTTGTTGAATACATAGCGACTGTCTAAAAAAACAGCAAAATCCACCTGTGGCTGGTGTGAAATACTATGTTTTAATTGGAATATCGTTTTTTCCCTTCTTTTTCTTTCTTGCCTGATGAAAAAAATCTATTGTGAGAGAAGGATTGGAGAGGGCTGGCTCAGCTCTTACACTTAAGCAGTGGGAAAAAAAGAAATGCCAAGCTGGTATTAATAAAAATGCTTCCTATTGGGAATGAATGGTATTGCCAGGAAAAAAAAAAAAGAGGATACTTTGCACTTTGTGTGAGAGAAACAAAAGAAAGAAAAATCCAAACCGCTTCACTGAAGTTCTAACATACATACAATTTAAAAGTTTAAAAAGTCAAATGACACTTAGTTTTGCCCTCCCTTGAAAAGGGAACTATCTCCTACACTGCTGGTCATCGGAATACAATATAACTATGCTGAGAGTTAAAAGAGCATCACCATAAAAAGAAAATGTGTCCAGATTTTGGAATTCAAAGTATTCAATGTAAATATCCAGACAGAACGTTTGTAGCTGAAATCTGTCACAAAAAGGAACCCTAGTGACTACAAACGTAGCTACTAAACAGAAAGTCATGGCATGAATCTGTGGTTATCAAGGATAAACCACCAATTCAGGTGGACAAAACTCTGGAGAGAAAAGAATATTCTTAGTTGAGTCATATTTGCAATTTTAGTCTGAGAAAAGTATGATTTTGAGTTAAAGTAATGATGACATGACTGTGACACAGCTTTTTGATGGGTTTCTTATGCTACACTTCTTATGGCCGAAAGTAAACACAGACAATTTGCTGTTCATCTCTATGAGGTCCAGTTCACTCCTCTCCTGCAGGAATGGTAAATAAAAAATGCATTTACTTAAGAACTCTCTTATCCTACCAGAATCTTGTAGTAAAGGACTTGAGAGTACTTTCAAGCCATGCATATTACCATGTTGTTAGTGCAAACAAACATTCATTACCTATGGATTATCAGTTCACATTTATGTACAGTTGAAGAATATATTTAGAAATAATTTTTTTTGGAAAAAGGTGTACCTAATCCTGCAACCTTCTAAATGAGCTAGCATGATTTAAACTGAAGTCAAAGGATAGTGGTCTTTGAAAAGAAGCAAATGGCATTACTTGGACAGCAATTACCAATAGCTCACTACTTCCTGAAATCAAACTACATACAAAACAGGAAAGCTCAGTACTGTATTTTGCTACAATTTCCTTCATTAGTATTTTTTCACAGTTAACAGGACTTCACCAAGATTATATTACAACTAAAAGAGTCTTCTTGGAAACTAGCTAAAGCATCTGTATCCTGCTAGTAAAGCCCCAGATTGTGGCCAATTGTGCATATAAAACTTTATCATTTTAATGACTATCAGCATTTTAACAACTATTATCATCAAGCATAATTTGGGAGAGTATTGTCATGTTGCTGTCAAACTTACGGTTTGTATCAACAATAGCAAATTTCACATGCCAGCAAAACAAACCAAAATCACATGTGCAAGAGAGCATCAGCGATAGCACTAAAGCTCTCTATTTGTCTGCTAATCCAAGCATTTGAAAACGGCAAAGGTTTCCTTCAGACCTCAGTGAACTCACGTCAACGGCTTCATTATATGAATGCCTATTGCTAGTATTTGCAACCATTTGAGAAATGGTTTAGTTTGCGCTTTTGTTCTGATCCTCATTAAAGAAAATACGCAAGGCTTATGCCCTGTAGCAAATACTTTTAACTACACATACAAATTTTGCACTTTTGTGTCTTTAACCTTTTCTGGAGTTAATATGCATAGTATAGTTCCAACAAATCTCCAGTTCTGCATTTAGGTTGACTTAAAGGTTGACTTAGACAACAAAATCAGCAGCACCTGATCTACTGAGTTTTCAGGAAGGACATTATTTTGAAGGTCCAATAAAATTTACATAAATGCATTATCAGCAAATTGTTTCCCCCCTTGAAATAACACTTTAAAAAAACAGTTTTCTTAGTAAGTTGTCTAATAATACAGTAAAAATGCGATAATTGAGACTTGCAGAGAGAACACAGAGAAATAACTGATAAAAAGTAGCTTTTGTCTTTGACTGTCATTTCACTCTGAATGACCAGGTGTAACTTCTTTATTTAAAGTTTTTTAATTATGGAACAATGATGGCATAAATCCAACACTGCATTTAATTAAGATCAATCTCTCCATACTATAATTTAGAAAAACCAACAACCTTTTATAAATCTAGAGCTCTACAAGATTCATATTCTCCAGAACACAAAATGCATTAATATTTATTTCACTCAGACATACAGCAAAGTTTGCCAAAGATTCAAGCTCTGGAAAACATCAACTAGTCTCACAACGTATTCTTATGCCCCAAGCCAATGCAATGAAAGCCATGGATATGGGATGCAAGAACAAGCTAGTATATACACGTTACAGATATTTGTCTTCTTAAGTCTTACTCAGGAATGACAGCCACTCTTAATCAAGAGTAAGCATGATAGCCTCATCTCCCAGTATCAACCTATTCCCTAGTGGAATGTCACAAATGAGTATGTAGCTGCTCTGTGTTAGGAGAAAGAGAAAAAAAAATCCTGCTCTTCAGTGCTAGCATTTTAATGGCAAAAAAAGGTATGCAAACAATATTTCTGACATCAACCCATCATATACTATCTCTACTGTTTCAATTATTTCTCCCCCTACCCTTTCTTACACCAAAGACAGCAGAAAACACAAAAACAGACAAGAAGGAAAAGGAAGCAAAATGGCAGAGAGGCCTCAGGGCAGGAAATTGTACTATGATTAGAAGAAGAGGATGGAAGTACGAAAGGAAAAGTAGCAAAGTAGCAGAAGACAAACACCACTGGTAGGCCAATATCTGAAACCAAACGTATACACTAAAACAAAATTCAAGATTACCATTCTGCTCACAGATTCTTGCAATTTTCACATTGGTCTAAGGTTTATTACAACAGAAGGAGCAACACTTTTTTCATCCTAACAGTTGCCACTGCCCACAACAGTTGTAGGAGAAGAACTGTAGAATCAGCCTTGTAGGTCTTCAATCAGCATGACCAGAGTGTACGTGATGTCTTTGTCACAGGACTCATCCAAACTCTGTGTTGCTCTTTCAAACAGTCAACAACCAAAATCAGTCTGGCCCAGCTTACGACAGTTAATTTAGCCCTAAAAGCTCTAAGAGACGGATAAGCCTTTTACAAATGTGAGAATGGGAACAGAAATTTTTATTGATTCAAGGTTATGTATTTTATCAGTTCTAGTGGTCCAAGTTGATGGAGTAAAATCTGTCATGTCTGAAAAAAGTTATGCAATAAAGGCAAAGTTTGCATCATGCCTGAAATACACAAAAAAGTTAAAAATTAGCTACCAAAAATTATGTATCAAGATCCCTTTTAACATATCCGCAAAGGACTATAACGAAAAAAACATAATCTTACTGTTCTGGTTTATCCAGAAGCTTCAGTTCCTCTTCTTTCGAAGACTGATAATATTGCTTGATTTTTTCCAGTTCATCCTTTTGTGCTCTCTGAGTGAATTAATATAAAGTAATGAATAACTAATTAACAACAAATTAATAAATTACTAATTTTTCTGAAAAGTAACAATTGTAATTTAATTATAATTTTTATTGGGAAATATTTAGACTATGCAAAAGAATGAGGCATCAAGATCCTTGATAAATTCCTTTAGTGCCTTGTGGTGCCATTTACTACCAATGGCCACAAAGCAGAGCGTTCCTGTAGAGCACAGCGCTGTAAATGTTGCTATAGGATGCTTCTCACAGCTTAGGTTGGAGAGGTAGCTCTGATATCTCTACAGCCAAGTGTAAATGTATTCTTTGATGCAACTTCAGGGTCACACAGTTCATGAATGCTATACACTTAGCCTCCAGAGCAACTTGGGTAAGGACAGCAATGCACTCGCCTGAGTTAACTGTTTTAGCCACTTACATCTTGAATTAGAACAATTCAGCACGTTAGCACAAAACAGGCCTTAAATAAGGACAGTCTTTTTCAGGCAGCTCAGAAGAGAACACAGCTAGATGTTACACCTTTTGTTACATTTTAACTGGATTCAAAAGGCACTCCACTGTTTTAAATTTCTGACATTTAAGAACTAAGTCAGTAAAAGAAATAAGCATGTAAACAGGCATTTTTTTGTGTTACCTATTTTATTACTGTTAAATTCCCTACAGACTTTTTCTATATAATGTCTCCAGTCTAAAATGGCAACATAAAATAAAAATGTACTTATTCTTTGTCTGAAATACTATTGTGATTAACCACAGCTCTACCCCAGTTTACTTACATTTTCATATAGTGCTTCCAGTGTTTCCAGATCTACTACAGAATCATCAACGCACAGTATAGCTGTATAGAATACAATCACAAATTAGATGCTAGAAAACATATTTAAGAGTTCAATTCTGTTTCCTGAGAAATGTACTAAAGAGATCTAACCTAGCTAAAGGACATACATGTATCCATTTAATATGTTATTATTCTCAGCATCTCATTTTTGTTCTGACTTCAAGTCACAGCACTCATGCAAAAACTTACTATAAAGTCTGTTTCAGGAGAATGGAGTTTTACTTTTCCTCTCCAGTATACTCAGCAGTCAAATACATGACCTGCCAGGTACTCAGCTGATTGCACAGCTGGCCAGGCAGGAAAACATGAGAACAATTCATTCCAGACAATGAACGCACAGATTTCATGGTAGCTTAGCAGGCTGGAGAGGAAGGAGTTGTGAGTTAGGGTATTTAGGTCTCCCTATGTGCATGGGAGGTCAGGGAGATATGTAAACAGGGAGATCTGCTTGTCTCAGGGTTAGCAACCTTGGGAAGCAGACAGGTAGACAACTTGCAAGATTTGCAAGTCGCAAATTTGCAAGTACCAAAGCTTGTGCTACAGAATTTTATGATATCTTCATAGGGCAGTTCATGTTTCAGTCAGCTTTGACCACTAGAAAACCACCCATACGACAATTTCCCGAGAAATACTTTTAAATGTCACACAGAGACACCTAAAGTATACTCTTCAATGATTAATTATGCCTCATTACCAAAAATAAAAAGCCTCAAAATGTTTCCTAGCTTAGTTCCAAATGTTACTATGTTTGGAATACATATCATTAGGTGTTTCCAACATTTGCAAATCCCATTACAGTTTAGGCAATGTATTGGGACTCTTCTGAAAATTACATAGTATCGGTTCACGGTGCTTTCTACTGCTCTTTAATGTTAAATTCCAGTAAGCTAAGAGATGCACAATGGAATAGACATAACTTTGAATGTTTATTTTTTGAAACCAGCATTTCATCAAGATTCATAATGGAACTGGGCACAATTTTTGAACTCCTGACTTATGTTTAAATGTCATGGGGAACATTAATCCCAAATGAATCAAGCTTAAGGCCTCTACCAATTTTCCACATAACCAGTGACTCATCGTTAGCTAGTACCTGATAACTTTTAATTTCAACTGTATTATATTTCTTCAAAGGAAACTTGACTTCTTGTGAATTTAGAAAATTTTAAAAGCTCTTGCTGCGTTTGCAATCCATGTTTGAAAGGGGCAAGACACACATCTTTAAATAATTATTTAAAAGTTATAAGCTTTCGCCTGCTTTTCCACCTACCCATGATTTTACATTGTGAAATTAACCAGCAGGCTAGTAAATTTTCTCTGTGGCAGGCTAATTAATTTTATTAAAAGGTCCAATGACATTTAGAATGCTTTAAAATTTTGCCTGTCAATTATGATTCAATCTGTTGACATTAGACCTTGGTTAGAAGTAAAGCATTATATGGAAGATAGTATCAGTGAAAAAAAGCAGTATCTCCAAATATTTTTGTCCTATTGGAAAGATTCAAAAAAAGCTCAAGAGTGAAACCAAATATAAAGC